TGCCGGTCTTCCCGGCCACCCGTTCGTCCCCGGGACCGCCGCCCCCGCCGCCGCGTGTGCTTCTTTCTCCCAAGCCGGCGTCGCACCGAAAGCCTTCCCGAACGGCCCGGTCGTACGCGCCCTTGCTGCAGCAGACGATCGGCCGCTCGGCCCGCATCGCCGCTCCCAGCGCTCTCACGGAGCGGAGGTGCGTGTCCAGCACCACGGGGCGGGGCTGGTGCCCGCTGCCGCAACGGTCGCTCCAAGAATCGGAAGCACCGGTGGTCTTCCACAGCCGGTTGCCCAGGCGCGGGTTGTCGACGGCCAGGGTGTTCCCCCCCACCACTATGGCGTCGTGGACGGACCGCAGCGCGTGGGTCAGGCGGAGGGACTCGTGGCCGCTGATGGCAAAGTTCGACGACGTGGCGGCGGCGCGGGGGGAGGCACCCCTTGCGGCTCGATCCAGCAAGAGCGCGATTTTCCCGTCGATGCTCTGGGCGTAGGTGAGGGTCACAAAGGGCCGCCCCGGTGTTCCCCCGGAATGGAATTCCTTCATCGCCGCGAGAATCTCGTCGAGAGACTCGTGTATCAACTGGTCGATGCCGCTGCCGCTGCCGCTGGTAGGATCTGCGGGTTGCTGGTGCTCGTCGTCGGTATCGAAAACATTAGGAATGGTTTTATCCAAGACGGTGGTGGTGGAGGAAGCAACCGAGGGAGTTGGTGTTGTTGGTTCTGTCGCAGCACTAGCTTTGTTTGTTACAGCAAAAACAAAAAAGAACAGAAAACCGACTTTCGCAAACCGATAGGCTGTCGGCCCCGCGACAGCTCGAGCCGAAACAGCAAATTTCATCGTTTCGGCTCCTTGGGATACAAAAACGATAGATAGATAGATAGATAGATAGCCTGGTATCGTGGATTGCTCACAATAGAAAACAGAATAAGTGCAACGCGACGATGCGAGGGATCATCGGGATTCTCAGATTCTTATCAATTGGTTTTGGGTGTCTCGATCTTCGGAAGCTGGTGTTGACCTGACTGCATGGTACTCGTAGTCGATGGTTGATGGAAGGTGATGCAGAGATCACTGCACATCAAGATACTGCATTTCGCGCCAATTTCCGAACCGGGGGTCGTCTTCGAAGAAAACAACATCGAACATTGAAATCGACTCACTCGACTAAATAAAAGGCGCGGACCGTTGGATTGAAAGTGGAATAGTGGTGCGCACTGTACGTACGGTAGTACTACTGGCAGTCGAAGGGAAAACCCGTGAAAGATTTGTATTTTGTGAGCCTTGCCGCCAGACCGAAGAGAAGCAGCCGACGATGGCCCACACAACACCAATCAAGACACAATCTCATTCAAAGAACCACCCACGACAAGAGATACAAGCCGACGCCTAGCATGGACGGTTCCAGACCAAAGCCCAAGTCGAAGCCAAACGGGATGCGTCAGCGGGGAGGGAAAGGCCACAGGAGCAGTCCCAAGAAGAAGGCACCGAGCGATGGTGCAGCGAAGAACGCGAAGGCTAATCCAAACGCGAATGCGAAGGCGAATGCGAATGGACCCGGTCCTTCCCCGCCCACCACAACGAAGAACGGACCCGGTGAGCTCGCAATCTTCCTCCTGGTCACGGCCCTCGTCCTTTTGCCCTACGGCCTCCGCAACGCCTACCTCTTTGTCTTCCTCCAGCGGCCCGAATGGCTGTCGCTGTCCCCCGCGAGCAGCTGGGTGTCCCCGGCATTGCTGCGCCCTTCCGTGGGCGAGGCCGACCCCCGCCGGGTGCTCGTGGTGGGAACCATGAGCTCCGGGACCACGCAGCTGGCCCACGACCTGGCAAGCAAGCCCCCGCTCGGGCTGGGACTGGAGATCGGACACGAGAACTCCGAGACCTTGTGGAGCTTTGTCCGCGACGGGACCGTCTCCTGGTTCCACGGGATCCGCTTCCTGCCCCGGCCCGGGATCGACCTTCCCGGGAGCCTGTCGATCGAGCTCCCGGCGGGCAAGCGAGCGGGGGGAGCGAGCGGGGGTCCCCGCAGCATGGCCGTCGAGGGGGAGCTGCTCTTTCGGTACGCCGTCGGCAGCCTCTGCAGGGACCTGCACCCGAACATAGGCTTCCACCCCTTTATGTTTCGCGACGGTGGGAGGTGCTCGCTCCGGCAGTCCTGGAACGCCTGCTGGAGGGACGAGTGCGAGTCCCTGCTGGAGCGAGAATGGGGCTGCGGCCTGCGGGACTCCTCCTCCTCGCCGTTGTCGTCGTCGCAGTCGTCTTCCTTCTCTTCCGGCTGCACCACCCCCTACCGCAAGCACTTGCTCCAGGTCCGGCACCCCCTCCGGGTGGTCGAGTCGCTCGTCACCAAGTTCTGCATCGGAGGCGTGGCGGGCGAAGTGCAGCCCTCCTTTCTGCTGTTCGCCAGGGCCCTCTTTCCCCACAGCGAGGCCTTTTCTTCCGGGGAGACCAAGCCTTCGTGCATCGAGGCCGCGGGGCACTATGTCTACGAATACAACACCGCTATGCTCGGGGCAAAGAAGGACGGGCACATCGACGATGTGTTTTCCGTAGAGGGAGCCACCCCGTGTGCCGTCGCGAAACTGGCCGGCTTTCTGGACGAAACCGAAAACGAGCAGCGCCACGAGGCAACGATCCGGGAGAATCTCTTAGAGGCCTGCCACGGGGACGCCGGGGACGCAAACCAAGAGCGGGATTCCAACACCAAAACAAAGGTCAATCGCCCGATGGTGTCCACCCAAAATACCTACAACCAGGGCCGGCTCTCCCTGGACTGGGACGACCTCCTGGGTGGAAAGCACGGAAGCCAGAAAAAAGAGGGGGACCGCCATCTCAGGGACCGRCTGAAAAAAATGRCACGGAAGGACTTTGGCTACGACTAGGGGAGGATTCGAGGCGAGGCATGGAAAAAGGCCCGGGGCACGACAGTTTTGTTTCGAACGTGCGATGCAACGTTGGATTGTTCGCGTTGGTCCAAAAAATGGCAGGTGGTACCCTACAAGAAGGAGAATTACTCGAAGTACAAAACGTAGATTGGAAGTGGATTCTTATCTTTGCCATGCRTTTTGATGCATTGTTATCGTGCWCCAAGCGAGAACAGGAGTCCTTCGGCATCGTCAAACGAAGAAACGAAGTGGATCGATCCGAATCGCTTCCGTTCGGCGTCGCTGGGAAGCTCGAGTTTCTTCGCCATTTCGGAAACGATGCGCCCGCCCCTGCCCCTTGGAATGGTCTCGTGGTTCTCTCGGCCTTTTACCCGCTGTTTGCAGACCGAGGCATCCGCCGTGAAGCAGACGAGAGAGACGTCGGMCCTGGGGGGCGAAYGCATCAGCTCGAGCCACTTTGCTCGGTCGGAAGCCGTTGGATTGCATCGATCCAGGATCACCCGGGTCCCGGGTCTGCTTTTTYCCGCCAGCCTTTCGCACTCCTTTCTTCCGAGCYTGTCCTGGTTGATGACCAGCCAGCTGTTTTCGGGGGGAAAGGACCCGGCCAGGCGGTCGGCAAAGGTCGACTTTCCGCTTCCGGGCAGTCCCATGCAGACGATGCATCTCGGTGCCTTTCTCTGGAGCCGCAAGGTTTGAACCTTTCGTTCGAGTTCGGTCTTGSTGTCCGTCTTGCTCGGCCCTGCTTTGCCGGCGCGTGGTGGTGGTTTCAAATCCGACGATGTGCGAGCGGCATCTGCTTGTTCGTTCGCAYCCGAAGAGGATTCCGTCACCGAGGTGGAGGATGATCCTCCRACGGCACCTTCGGTTGGGAGGTCACCAAAGCCCGGCATCGATCTCCTCCAGAGCACGTTGGCGTAGCTTCGCACGAAGGATTCCTGAACCGAGGTTTCGATGGAACCGGGTCGAACCTTGCGAATGTAGGTGGTGGCGGCCGACGAGCTCAAGCGGGTTGACATTGCCCCCGTGGTCTCTGCCCCACCGCCACTGCCGCCGTGAGATGCTCTCACGCCGAGGGTTCCGAATTTCAGCAAGAGGCAAGCACCAACGGTCCCGGCTCTGCCCTTGCCACCACCGCAATGGACCACGGCCGAACCTCCCCCTCGCACGGCGCGTTCGATGGATTCTACGATTCGATCCATCTGCTCGAGGGTCGGAGGCCGATAGTTCGGAATCGGTACATGCAGGTTTTGGCATTTGGTGTTYTCGAACCACGAATCCGGCAAACGTTTCTCCTCCATCAGAGTGACCACCAGGGTAGTATKRAAATGCTCGTTCCAGGCTGCTACCTGCTCGAGASTCGTGGGAAYSGAAGTTATGGCAACCTCTTGTTCCCAGAGAAAGGAGAAATTTCTCGGCATCACGATGTCCTTTGATAATCCACTCGAAACCTTCAACCTCCTCCTTGGATCGATTGGTTCTCGAAATGGAAGCTCGGTAGTCGTTTGCTTTGACCCGTGTTCTTCCTCTTCTGGAACAATCTCCGGAGCATCCAACGGTGGTGTTGGCGGTGGCGGCGGTGCAAGGGAGCAATCCTCCTCGGAACAATACTGCGCTGCAAACCCGGGGTCAATGGTTTGCTTTTCCATGTTGCGGCGTGTCCAATGCTCCGTAATGCCGTGAACAAAGTCGGGCCTCACAACTTTCATGCGGTGCTCGAGCCATTCCGCGTTTCCGTCGTCGATTCGCAAGACAACTCCCTCTATTGTGCCACCATCGATGCGGAACCTTGACCTGGTGTCCAACAGCAACCGTAGATGCGACTCGAACTCGCTTGGATTTGTTGCTTTCTTCGACACAGTTTGGTTCGGATAGGGACCAAACTTTTTCACTTCAATAACCGGAACACAAGGAATYCCGCTGTGACGCAGGATGTCGTGGAATCTCTTCCGGGAATAGAACTTTTGCTTCTGGCGATCGTACAAATCAAACGCTATGAAGTATCCAGGTAGCCTACCATACGGAATAGAATGCCGAGCAACACACCATTCACCTATAGTGTTCAAGCAAGCCGACAAGATAGAACTATGAGGATTGGTTTGAAAAGAGAAACACGGCATAGTCGACTCAAAAATACTCTGACGTACCAAACAAAATCAGTCCCTGGCTAGCGGCTCTAGGCTTCTGATCCGACGGGGTCAGAACCTTGACGAGCGACGAACGATGCTCGGAAATCCATGATTCTAGCCGCCCGAATTGGTGGTGGTCTCCTCCCGAAACATAGTGGCTGCGGTTTTGCGCCAGTATTTCCCCCGAGGCCGAGAGCGAGAATCCCAGGTTGGCTCCGTCGATTTTTTCTTCCAGAACGACTTCGTGTGTCCCGTTGCAGAATTCACGCACCAAACAGCTGTTCCCGGAGACCACCAAATCATCGCTGGACACGGCTGTTCCCCCGGTGTCGAACAAATGTGCCGTACGGGGAAAGGGAACCAGTGGCGGGATCGGGGGCTCGAATCCTATTTTGCTGCAGCAAAACGCAAGCGCCCGTTCGATGGCCGCGGCTTCGTCTTCCATGCACTTGCTCTCCCTAGTACGCCTCGAACATGCTGCGCTCGAGGTGTCCTTGCATTGCACCGATGATTCTTGGTACAATCGGTACGATGCAATAAGCCATGCGTAGGCGGGGTCCCAAGATTCCTTCATGGAGAGAGCGACACCCTTGTACCCACAAGCTGCGCTTGCCGCTTGTGCAATATCTGTTGGGTTGGATTGGGGATTCCGCTTCACGGTGGCTTCCAATTCGAAGTGCATTTCCGCATAATCTATGACTCCATCAAAATCTCTCTTGCGCCCCAAAATCTGGCACCGCATTAGGAATAGTTGTCCGATGAGTCTCGTGTGGCGATCGGGTGATACCCACGGGTCATGTTCAAGGTAGTCAGAAATCCTTGATTTCTCTCCTTCCGATCCAGGACTTAGTAGATGGATCAGACGCCTCAGGTCATGTTCAAGGTAATGAGAAGGAATCATTGATTCTCTCATTTTGTGGAATCGGGTTCGGGAAGGTCCCGATCGAGGACTTCGCAGATGGATCAGGTCTTCGGCAGCATCCAGCAAAACATTGGCGTGTTGAAACCTTCCTTTCCTGGTATATGGTACTTCGCTGTTGTCGATCACTTCGCTTGGTTTCCCTCCAAGTATGACAATTCTTGCCTCTTCTATCAGATCGAGATGGGTCGAAAGGACTCTGGTCGGGGACGATGGAAGCACTAGCGAAAGGGGTTGATTCTGAAAGAGAGTTGTTATTCCCTTTGGGACGTCGTGAATATCTGTTCCGTCGAAACCAAGGGTGACATGGAAATCCTTGGGGGGCAGGCCCAACCTTTTTCTCAATGCGTCTGCCTTTGGATAGCAACACACAAGGAAATAACATTGTTGTTTCCTGCTACCGCTGTCCCACTCTCGTCTTTTCGATTGCCTTCCAATGCCGAGGACGAACCAATCTTTTCCACGCTCCGACTGTTCGTGCAAGAACGATTGGCAAAATCGGACGATCTTTTTCTCGTGCTGGCTGTTGGTGCAAGAAGCATTGCAATCACCATCACTATCATCGTCACCGTTATCTTCGTCGGCCTTTTGGGTCACGAGTTGGCGCAGTTCGTGTCTCGTGACGATGGTCATGTGCCAGTGACTTCCGTCGCGTATGATCCTCTGCGACACAAACCGCGGGGGCACGACTCTGGRGGAKAGATMTTCTTCTCGGTGCTGCTGGAGATGTCTGCCATCGGTGGCGACCAACGGAGCTTTCTTCCGTGCCTCGCATGCGATATTCGCAACCCGGTCGATATCGGGTCCCAAAAGGGAAATAGTCCCTCTTTCTTTCTTTAGAAAACTTGACAATGGCTGCGTGTTCATGGTCGAATGTGGAGGTAGCTTTCGATTTGCGCTGTGGTATCTTTTTAAACGTGTTTTACTATTTGGGTTGTTGTATTACTATATATTTTATTTATGATTTCGTATCACTATTGCACTAATGTACGTAACCACAATGTTTGGGTCAGAACTAACTACAAGAACGAAGTGGACTTAGTCCAGTGATTTTCTTTTCTTGGGTACCACGTTTCAAAATCGCAAGGGTTTCGAAAACAATGAATCGTGGTACCGTACGTACGGTAAAAACGTACGCGAAAGATACGACACAGGTAAAATGAAATGAATCCTAGTACTAGTTGTCAACAGTAGTAGCAGTAGTACTACTACTAGTACCAACGGCGAAAGGAATATCACATCTACTAGCTACTAGTAGTATTAGACCTTCCTCTTCCTGCGCTTGACGATGTTCTTGTTCATGACTGTGTTGCTAGTAGTGGTAGTACTACTACTAGCTCCTGCTGCTGCTGCTGCTTCTTCTTCTTGTATCGCCGTGGTGATGCTGATCCTCCTCACCACATTTTTGATTCTTATGCTGGAAACAAAATAGTATTTGTATTAGTAGTAGTAGTACATGTAGTACTACTGGTAGTAATTTAAGTTATGTTGCTATGAGTAGTTTACAGGCTACTGGTGTGTTCTTGTGTTTTCTGCAAATTTGGTATTTTCATCCTTCTTCTTCTTCTTGTTGTCACTAGTATTGCTGGTGGTGTCCTTCTGTTGTTGCTGGTGCAAGCATGCAAAAAGTACGATTAAGAAACCTTGAATGTGTGCAATGGTGACATCATGCTTGCTTCCCAGAAGATATGGAGACATTCATAGATACTGCATCTACTTCCCTGCTCACATATTACCACCGGATCTAGTATGAAAAGACTGTCCTTGCAAGTGTTAGAAAGGCCTTGCTCACATCAACCTCCAACACATGCCCTCTTACCCAGTACTTCCAACCTTTGCCTCATAGTAGTAAACAGCCACCAGAGAGTGTCACACAATATTAGCTGGTCTTTGACACCTCCTACTCCAAACAGAGAAATCACAAACAACCTGCAGTGCCAGACACTTCTTTGGCTCCTTTTGTAACACCTTTACATTCACTACAAACCAAGTTGACTCATTTCTTTCAAAGCCAGCAAAACCAATCCCTGGTTGCACTTCCACCAAAGCTCCTTGGAGGGAAGTGCAGCTAGTAGGAACATACTTGTAGTATTTATTGTAGTGGGTACTACTAGTAATAGTAGAAGAAGAAGAACAATGGACAGCTCCATCAGTCAGAAGAAGCATCATGATCCATAATTTATGGAAGCTTACTACTAGTAGTACTAGTAGTAGTAAGAAGGAAACCATATAATTTTCTGTCACAAGGAAAAATTGGCTATAGTTCACGGTAGCCAGTACTAACCTTGAAGAATTCTTTCAGCCCTGGACTTACCGAGGAAACAAAAAGAAACTTGTTTTTTGTGTGGATTTGTGTAAACCCTGGTATATTAATTTTTGCAAATAAATTAGTACCTTGACCAAAAACAGATTATTCATTTTTAACTTAAACATTCAGTCATTATTGTGGCAATAACTTAGTTTTTGCATCATCGTAGTAGTAAGAAGAAGTTTTATCACCGCTGCCCTTCGAGAGCAACAATAGCAACAACGGCGGCGGCAAACAATTATTTGCTATCTACTCTTGCAACTCTATTATTTACTACTAGTACTATTATACAACTTCTTATTAGTAGTACTAGTACTATAACAATAATATGAAGTAATAGCTAGTACTAGTACCACAAAAAAGGCAAGTGATAATATTTTCGTACCGATGATACGTATTCCTTCTACATCGTGCGCGTACGTACGTACCATACCATTTTGATTTCCATACGCCTCACCGTTTTGAAAAGACGAAGATGCAAAAAAGGAAGAACATCAAACAAGTCGTCAGATTTCGCAACAGCACCAACCAAAGCACACACAACACTGCGGAAACTGTTCCAGAGCGATGCCACGCTAGACAACCAAAAAGTGGGCTGCATTGTTTTGATAGAAAAAGTTGTCCCGYCGTCAAGGTAGCATCAGCAACGTCGCGTTGGCACCAACACCAACAAGCACCGTCTGCTGCTTTTCCGACGCACGCGACCGATTGAATTGAATTACATTGGTTCCTTCCCGCAAAACTCAACGAAGCAGGGACACGCGGTGGGTTGAACCTCCGGGAGCAACATCGACAGAGACGGAAATAGAAACGGCTCTCGGCATCCGTTCTTGCGCAAGGAGCGTGTGCGCTGGTTCCGAACGCCGGGCGGGCATTGTTATGGAGGGCACKGGGGCTCCGTCCTTCGACGGGGACAAGGACGAGGACGACACCAAAGCCGGCGTCGACCGGGTCCGGATCCACCACCACCGGCGGCTGGGGACCGCGCGAACCGGCGGGAAGAGAGCGCGAAGGAAAACGCAAACGCAACTGCAAGCGCAGGGACACCGGGGTGGGAAAGAACCCGCTGCCGTTAGCGTTCTGGTCCGGATCCCCAAGCATTCCTCGGTGCTCCCCTACCTGCTAGACTGCCATAGGAACCACTACCGCCACCACCATCGCCTTCCAGGAGCAGAAGAAAGCATTGACGCGAAATCCGCGGATTCGCATCCTTGCCAAGACCTCCACCTATTGTGCCACCGACCGGGGGTCCTCTGGCGCGGGCTGCTCCCGTTGGTATTTTCCTCTCTTTCGGCAGYGGAAGAAGAGGCCGCGGCCACCCCTCGCGGCACGCCTTCCCAGCGGATGTTGCTGGGCCTCGGCCTGCGGGGCGCCCTGGATCGGGCCCAATCGGGAAGGAACGGCCACGGATGCGAATCCGGTGGGGAAGCTTGTGTCCACATGGACGAAACGACACAGCAACAACAATCACAACAACAATCAACGCCAAAGAGCAACGCCAAATCCGAYGGCAATGAAASTTCCATGTTTTTATCGTCTGCTTCCGAGTGGTTCTATGAACGAATGATTTCCATTCCTCTCGCACTGTTGTCCGAYCCCAGTAAAAGACGAATMMAAAAAAATGCTTTGGTTTCGGCCACACGCAGCAGCAGCCGCAGCAGCAACACCAGCGTTTGCTTGTACCTCCATCCACCCCTACGGTCGGACRTCGATCGAACCCTCTTTGCCTCGATCGTCTCGRGGGCGCAGCGGGGGCTGGTCTTCCGGAGCGCCTGCACGGCCTGGTGCTCCACCCTCGGGGGCGGGTATTTTGGCGTCCGGGACCTGGCCAAGAGCCTGCGGCTCTCCCGGCATCTGAGGGCCCTGGCGCTGCGGGCCGGGGACGTCCCGCTGGCCCGGCAGTGCACCGTCCACGAGGCCTACAACCACATGTACGCCGGCATGTTCGGGGCCGCGAGGGCCCTGCTGGGGGGCCTGGAGAGGGAGGTGGAAGCCTCCAGGGRAGGGGCCGCCCGCTACACCGCCGGCGACGAGCGGATCCTCGGGCAGTCTGCCAGCGCGAGGGAGTGCCTGCGCCGGCTAGAAGAGTCGGCGGGGAGCGGCCTGGGGGCCTACCGGTGGGGGGAGGCGACAGAGGGGAACCGCTCGCCTTCCGCCCCGGTGGTGTCCAGAACCGTGGACGACTTTCAGCGCCTCCGCATCGTGGCCTTCTGAGGAGGTTTCGCGCCGCGCCGCGCAGGGCTGCGGCGGATCGGCTTGGCTTGGCC